TTTTTTTTTTTTGTTTTTTTGTTTTTATTTGTTTGTTTGTTTTCTGAGACAGGGTTTTAGCCCTGGCTGTCCTGGAACTCTCTGTCGACCAGGATGGCTTCAAACTAAGAGATTCTCCTGTATCTGGCTCATGAGTGTAGGAATTAAAGGGGTACACCACTAGACCTGGCTGAATCTCTGTTCACGATAGACAACGGCATGCAATATTCTTACCTTGTAATGTCTTCATCAGCTTTTCCTGTGAGGTGAACAACAGAGTGTCTTCTACAGCAGTCATGCTGAATTGGTTTCTTCTCTCTTAAATCCTTGGTAGAATTTGCTATTAAATCCATCAATACTTGAAATACTGGCATCAAATGGGTCTTTAAGTAAAACTGCACCTTCTTTAAGAGACTGGGAAGTGTCAGCTATCTGCAATGAAACACTGTAACCTAAAGCAAGTGTGGAGGAGAGGACTCATTTGGCTCATACTTCAGCATCATTGTTCTTCACGGCAGGAAGTCAGGACAGGAACTCACTCAAGGCAGGATCCCAGAGGCAGGAGCTGCTGCAGAGGTCATGGAGGGCGCTGCTCACTGGCTTGCTCTACATGGCCTGCTCAGCCTGCTTTCTTAGAGAACCCAGGACCACAGGCTCAGGGATGGCTCCACCCACAATGGGCTGGCTTTCCCCCACTGATCACTAAATGAGAAAAAGCCTTAGAGCTGTACCAAAGGGGGCATTTGCTCAGCTAAAGCTCCTCCCTCTGATGACTGGCTGGAATACGCTGACACGGGGAAGCAGCCAGTGCTTCCTCTTTTGCTAATCTCCACTTGGGTTTCCATCACGTCTTTCTTCTGCACTCTTGGGGTCCCAGCCTGCTCTTCTCTCTCAAGTCTCATGAAAAGGAAACTTAGTTCACCGATTTGCGGACATTCTTTGCTTCTTACACAGGTATTTAGTTCTACTCATTTTACCTGAGTAACGAGTTGGCAGCATCAGAGGATTTGAAACACATGGCTTTATTTTCATCCAAACACTTCCAGTTTTTATTTCCAACTCCATACCCATGGCTGTGTGAGGCTGGGTGAGCAGAGGGCACTCACACAGATATCTGGGTTTCTCCACATAGCTCTTTCCACACCAGTGTTCCCTCCTGAAATCTGATAATGCCCCGCAGTGTCTTATCACCTCAGTCACTGGGTCTTTGTAAGTTACCCTTCCCTGTGCTGCCACCTGGAAATCCTCAGTGGATCCCTGAGACAACCCTGTGAGTTTCCCTCAGTGGAGGCCTCTGAAACAATCTCGTGAGTTTTCTTGTTAGCCTCTCAAATCTCAGAGACCACTGTCCTCTGTTGCCTGACACCCAGAATGCAAAGGGGGGGGGGAGCCACGCAAAAGGACAGGAGGCTCAAAATATCTCTCTCTCTCTCTCTCTCTCTCTCCCTTCCTCCCTCCCTCCCTCCCTCCCTCCCCCCCCCTCTCTCTCTCTCTCTCTCCCTCCCTCCCTCCCTCCCCCCCCCCCCTCTCTCTCTCTCTCTCTCTCCTTAGCCCCGATTGTTCTGCAGCTATGTAGAGGAAGATTGGTCTCAAAGCCACAGGTATCTATCTGCCTGCCTCTCGCTCCTGAGTAGAAGAATTAAAGGTGTGTTCTACCATGCCAGACTGAAACATTTTTTTCCTGGATTTTATCTGTTGAAGGGCTGGTCCCTGCTGCGATGCTTCAGCTGGAAGATCAAGCATTGTTTGTACCGGTATAACCCCAGTGTTTACATTTTTGGCTCGTTTTAATCCCTTCTAGTGAGTTCTCTTTTTCTTACTCTAAGCATTGAACTTAAAGCAGTGGCAGTCATTCTATGTGACTTTTGAGTGCTCTGGATACTCCTTGCCGTTGCTATAGCGACAAGTGATACAGATGCACCGAGCAGGGGAGATTAGTTGCACACTTTCATTCGCTGGATTTGTTTGTAAAAGGAGCAAGAGAAGACACTGCATGTTTACAAGCGGGTAGAATATGTGACAAACCCAGCTACTTTGGCAGAGGCCAGTTCTGCTGCAGGAGAGTTGCTGACACTTTTCAACCCTTAATGAGCCTCAGCTCTTACCTTACACCACTGGACATTGGCAAACACAGTGGAGTGGACCTGGCTTTCGCAGCCTGGCTCTCACTGGCGTGAAGGAGAAGGTTAGGAAAGCGGCTTCCTAAGGGGATGTGTTTGATGTTAGCGGAATCTCCTGACTAACCCCAGAGAAAGCTGGAGTCCACTGGGGACTGATAACATCAACAAGGAACTGAACCGAGAACTGGATAGTAGGATGACAATATCTTTCCATCTAGTCCCAATCTTTTGCCCTCTGGCCCTATGCTTACATTAAAAAGTCACAATGCCCCGACTTTCTTTACTAATGTACTAAACCGTCTGGCATTTCTTAGTTTGGCTTCAGAGTCTCTCCAGCCTTAAAACTTCTAAATCCTTTCATCCTTTCGGGTACAAGAAATTATTAATCTACAGTTAGATCATCTAATCCAAGTGTGTGATTTCCTATACAGAAATTAATGTATAGCAATTTTTGCCATTTGCCTTAGTTTGTAAAATGTAAAACCATGTGTTAAAAGAGATTATTAAAATCATGTAAAAAGTAAACATATTTAAGGTGAACACTCTCAACACTGTATTTCATATGTCCCTAAATCATTTCATTAAAAATTACATATTATAATGGTAACAAAGAAAACACAAATTTAAGAGTCATTTAATATATTTACCAACATTTTATGAATATATTAGTAACTGGTTTAAAACACTAGCAGAAGCCAACACTTTTAAGCCTAAAGTTTGAGTTTTATAAACTTGACTTCCATAGCTTTACAAAAGATTTGCATGATTACAACACAATGGCACCTTGCTGTCATTTGAGCACAAAAAAGTAATCATCATTATGCCACAAGCCACTTTTCATCTAAGTGAATACACTGTTGTAGAGAAATATGTAGGTTAGAATCCTGTGAACTAGCTTTAATTTGAGTCTAGAAGTTTCCACCTGTTAGCAGGCCACACCAAAAACCCTTGCCTGTGAACTTCAGAAGAGCCTGCCCAGCAAAAGAAGCTTTCCAGCCATTCATTTACTATAGCTGTTATCACAGATAATACTTCTTTAAAATACAGAGTTTGGAGCAAACTCAAATACTCGGAGTCCACAGTCATCTGGTTGTCTTTTGTTGTCTTTAGCGAGCATAATTTTAAGTGATTGTAAAAGTCCCCAAAACGGTCCTTATAACAGTTGTGCACAATCTGTTCATCCCATGGTATTTCTGCACATAGAATCAGAAGGGACGAGAAAAACATTCATCTCAAGATTTCCAGGCCAAGGTTACAGAGAAGGAGTAAAAATATGTGGGTACATATGGTCTTGGTTATACTAGATACTCTGGTAGAGCCATCAAGAAAAGTCCCGTCTTTTCCCCTAGCTTTAGGCTCTGGCCCTCAGAGGACAACCACGTGTCATCAGTCACTTCAGACACAGTATACCCACGGGCTCTCTTTAAGACACACTAAAGAAAGCTGATTTGATTTTTGTGACGCCATTTTGCACTAATTTTCAACCACTCTGCATAGAGTAGAATGTGCTTTGATAGCAATAATGACATTTTACTCTTCCTGTGGTCTCCATACACTTGCCATACACTGCCTTACTTACACACTGAAAAGTAATTCTCCCAGGTAAGTTAGTAAGTGGCAGAGCCAAAGACCAAAATGGAGGTGACCACCAAGGAGGCAGGCCACCTGGTCCCTGCTCTCGGCAGCACAGTCTTATGTAATTCAGACACATTCCTCCTTTTTCCTGAAAGCAAAGAAACATTACCAACCAAGCTGTAACCTTGACGAGACCCAAACAGACCAAGCATAGGGAGAGTGGAGGGCTTCCTGCGTGTTTCAGCATGGTGCTGCCAGGCAACAGCTTTGCAATTGTTAAGAGAGAAAGCTGGAGGGCAGGGCTACTGTGCTGTGAAGTGAGAAAGCAATCCCCAAGCGCCTTTTCCAAGTAGAGAGTGATGAGAGCTCAAAGCTAGACCATGCACAGGCCAGGTGGCTCACAAGTGAACTCTATGGAGGCCCTGTTGTCCTACCACATGCATGTAAGAAGTAGCCCCTAACTACCACACAGGCTGATTTTATGGCAGCCTGTTGTTCTACCACACAGATGTAAGTACTTGCCTATAACTATCGCAGGATCAGAGATGGAACACTACTACAGAGAAGCTGGTACCTTCATCATTTCTAAAATGTAAGTTTGGCTGTAAGCGAACTCTGAGCTATCAGGCAAATTTTGTGACATACATTTTCTTTTCACCTTCTATATTCAGATTACATTCCCTTTGTAAAGCAAATGCTCCAATATCACAGAGAGAGAAGAGCAACTGAAACTCAATGCATCATCTATGTGCAATGCTTTAAGTTAAAATTCAAATGATTGTTGTTACAGATTCGTTTCTTTAGCTCATGATTATATAAGTATTAGCAATGAAATGTAAAACAAACTTTTAAAATATTCTATTTCAGAACAAGTAGACAGTTTTCTAAAACTGATTTTTGCTTTATCAAATCCTAGCAAACGTCTATAGTTGTCCAACTATTCCTCATCAACTACATTTGGCAATACCAGCAAGCCAGGCACAACTGGAAAATGCCCAAAAGCCCAGTCACTCAGGAGAATGAGGCTGATCCAGAACCCGTTAAGTCAAGAGCAGCTGGGCAACAGAGGAAGGCACTGCTCCAAATCAATGAACTAAACACAGTGTAACAGGTCTGTGATTCCTGCTGGTCAATGGCTAATGCAGGAGAACCACTACAAGACTGAGTTCAAGGCCAGTCATGCCACATGATAAAAGTAAAGGGTTGGCTCGGAGCTCAGTGTGGAGTGCCCTCTAGAAATGGCAGGATGGCACATGGTGACAATACTAGGGCCCATCACCTTCATAATACTCAGAGACACCAGGAAAATGGAGCTGGGCTGCTTACCTTGGTCAGATGAATGACTCCTTTGGAAGTAACTGAACAACCCATGAAGCCGACATACTGCAGTTCAGGGCAGTGCTCAGCAAATGCCTTCACTGACTGGTCTGTCACCTAGGGGAAAACAGGAAGGAAGTCACTTGAGATGGTATCACGGTAAACTCCTGATCTGACACCTGTGCAAGTCAGCCTCACAGTAGCTGGTCTTTCCCTGTCCGATGGTCACCTGGATCAGCATACAAACATGCTCCAATATCCCCTGTGCTGCTAAGAATTACTTCCCTGACCCCACATCCCTTACACCCCTGGCTTTCATATTTCTCTACAGGAACAAGAGACAAAAGCTTCTCCACTTCTTATCCTGTGTCTCTTCCTCTCTCTTCTCTACACATTTCTACGGACCCTGTTTACAGGCTATAAAATTCACCCTTTAAGGGTTCAGCTCAGTGATTAGTAATATATCTATAAAGCTGGGCAGCATCTTCAGTACCTAATCCCACATGTTCATGCCTATTGCCCCCCCACACACACACACACACTGTCTTCCAGCTGGGTACTCTCTCTCCTGCCTTCAGAATCAGACTGTCACCACACCCCATGCTCTCCTGGGTCACCAAAATGCCAACTATCGAGCTTAGAACTTCTGCGTCTCGGAAGCATGGAAGTCAACCCCCTTTAAGGCTTTAGAAAAAGAGAAAAATCTGCTACTGGGCTTCTTTCTCTGGAGAACCCCAATGCAGTGTAGACTGAAATCCTCCCAGGAGACTGTTGCAAACTTACACCAGAAGGGGTGAAACCCCAGGGTCTTTATTTTTAATAAGCGCCCCCCAGGGACTCGCAAGTCATCCCAGGGACACAAAGAACTTACAGCGTTAGTTCTGGGTATTTCTAGCCAGCTTTGCTTTAAAGAGGGAAGGAAGGCAGACTGAAACTCCACCTCTGTCAATCATCCCTGAAACTTTGCTCCACCTACATAAAATTATCTTTCTGTAATTATGTTAAATGTTCTTTCCCATTCAGCTTATAAAAGCAAGTCCACACAGGTATAAACACATGATTACTTTAGATTTACTTTCTCCATCCAAAATGAAATCAAACGTTTCATTCGAATCCCGACAGCAACGGTGTCCCTTGTCTTTGCATTAGCTTTAGTACGGTGACTCTTATTTGTGTCTTCTTTATGTTCTACAGACAGTGGGAATAGAAGTATGTGACTAGCATGAATGCTAAAACAATCACAGGGACATTTCCCTAAAGTAATGAGAGCAAAAGTATCCATGGCAAGTCTGATAAAAGATTAATTCTGCCTTCAAAAGTAAAGTATGCTTAAGCATATTAAGACCAAGGATGCCATTGATAAATTAAAAATGGGCCGCCTTACACTCGGCTTTCTAAATACTTTATGTTAACATGCAATACGTAAGGCACTAATCGCTGGAAGCATCAATGAAACACAATCTTTAATTAAAAACCAAAAGGAAAGGTTACAGGGGTTAAGTACGTGGTCAGTAAGTTAAACACCCTGCTCATCTCACACTAGCACCTTTTAAAGAGAGGGAAAGGAATACTCAAAGTCCTGTTGCTAGGACTTTCCCTTGTGGCCGAAGCCATTAGAGTAAGCCAACTGAGACAAGCCTCCATCATCAACAGAGCCTGCAAAAATGAGAGCTGAGTGAAGCTCTCAAGTATCGAACACTGGGCCTGGAAATGTCTGTTTTAGAAGGCTACTAAAATGACCTTCAGCTGTCAGGTGATCCACTCTTCTCTTCCAAACAGATCTGTGCCTTAGGGTTTCTGTTGCTGCTAGTGACAGAAAGGAGCCTCAGTTGAGGAAATGCCTCAGTGAGATCCAGCTGTGAGGCATTTTCTTAATTAGTGATCTAAGGCCCAGCCCAGGGTAGGTGGTGCTATCCAGGGCAGGTGGTCCTGGGTTCTATAGGAAAGCAGTCTGAGCAAGACATACTGAGCAAGTCAGTGAGCAGCTCCCTCCATGGCCTCAGCATCTCTCCTGACTCCAGGATCCTGCCCTGTGTGAGTTCCTGTCCTGACTCCTTCAGTGATGAACAGCAATGCTGAAGTGTAAGCCAATTAAACCCTTTCCTCCCCAACTTGCTCCTTGGTCATGGAGTTTTGTTGCAGCAAGAGAAACTAAGACAGTGAGTGGCCTGGGGCAGAAGTTCTGGCAGAAACCCAAGTATAGATTATAGGATGGCAAGTATTGGTGGTCTCAGCTGCCCTAGGACCTTCGAGTCTAGGTATCTAGTTTTAACTTTCACATGGATGTCCCATCACTCTGTGTGACTGTTTAATGTCACTTATTGGTACCCTGTCTACCTCTAATACAGACAAAACAATGGAACTTCACAGAGTAAAATACGAAGGAGCAAAGGCAAGGCAAGGGAAATGCCCTGAACAGAGGTCCTAATTCCTCAATAGCTGTTAACTGGCGTCATCACCCCGATTGGATTTCTCCTGGACTGGGAGTCACAGCCAGAACCAGCAGTTGATGGGTGTAAGAAAATAATAACTCAAAACCATGCTATTCTACTCACCCACTCTATGTGGACACCCATCCCAGTCACCGTGTGGGAGCTCTGGATTACAGGGGAACTGAGAGCTGGCAGTGAAGAGGGCAGATGAAACTGTTGCTGTCAGCTGAGCAACATGTCAGACTCTCAGAGTGAACTCCTGGGTGTCTCTGGCTAAAGACCCTCACTGGTTGACTTTATGAGGTAGGTTCTCCAGAGAGTCCCACGTTCTAGTGAGCAAGGTCAAATGGACCTTCAACAAAGTTCGGTTCTTGTGACCAGCCTTACTGTGTCACCCTCAACTTAAAACTTGCTCAGACTGCAGAACCTGGGTTCTGCTAAACCCTAATATGCACTTAATAAGATCTTCAGTGACTGCTAAGTACCTTATAGCTTGAGAAAAACTGTGCAGGGGATGAAAACTATCTTTGGGGCTTAGAAGACAAAAAACTGGATAGCTATGTCCTAACAAAAATAACATGGTGGATTTTTATTTTTATTTATTTGTTTGTTCATTCATTCAATTATCCATTCATTCTATTGGTTTTTTTGAGGCAGGGTTTCTCTGTGTAACATCCCTGGCTGTCCTGGAACTCGATCTGTAGACCAGGCTGTCCTGGAACTCACAGAGATCTGCCTGCCTCTGCCCCCTGAGTACTGGAATTAAAGGCATGCACCACCACCACACAGCTGGTGGCCTTTTAATATAACATACTGAGGAACAATTTTCCCATTTTAAAAGCAAATTCCTGGCATGAAAACACTGAGATACTTTTTCCCCACAGTTTAATTCCAAACTGCATCATCATGATGAGTAAATGCACCTTGTTTTAAAATATAAAAGTATAACTGAGTATAATCCGTACAATTTTAACAGGTAATACCATTTTGCAATCAATCCGCTTTACTCTTTTGCAGCCCGTATCAGTCAAGCGCTGCTCCACACCCAGTTTCTGGAAGGTACCGCCAATGCATTTCCTATCTTTATACCCTGATTTATCTAGACCTTCCTACAATTACAAGTCTATCAAAAGTAGCGTTTTAATTCTATCCCTAGTAAAATGTATTTGAGATTTATCCATGTGTATACATACATATTTCAGTAGATTTGTTACTGCTATATAGAATTCCACTATATATAGTGTATTTGAGCAAGTGTCATGTGAAAGCTTTCTAATTTGGGATTTTGAAAGATGCTGCAAGTCTTTGTATGGAACTACATTTTTATTTCTTTTGAGTAAATGCTTTTGAGTACAACTCATAAACCAGTATATGTCTAATTTTATCAGTCAAAGAATTAGATTGCCTTAACTAAATTCAAGAAGATTTTACAAACTCTAGATACAAATCATTTCTAAGCTACGTGTTTCATAAGGCTAATACCATGCCCTAGGAAAAATGTTTTAACCCAAAGCCTTTGCTATGACACCAAGGTATAAATCTGTTCCAGCTATTTTACAAAGACACCTTTGTGCTCCTAGGAAAAGAGATCTGCTGCAGTATCAAGAAATCTGGACTGGTGGAAACTAATCCCAGCCTCTAGAGCCCCTCTTTGAACCCACCCATAGGCAACCTGCAGGAAACCCTCCAGATATCCCAGCCCCTGCACCAGCTCCAAAGACACCAACCAGGCAAGGACGGGTAGGCTGACTTCACCCACATGCCCACTCATAAAATGCTCTGTTATCTCTTAACTCTGGAGGACACCTTCACAGGGTGGATGGAGGCAAGCCTCGCCTACAGATGTTATGGCTCAGTACTCCTGGGAAACATCATCCCTCACTTTATGTGCCATCCCCCATGCTCCTGGGACATCAATGCTGGTACCATCTCTCCAGGCTCAAGTGGACACCAATCCAAGCATCTGGGACCCTGCACCCTCTGGTTTTTTCAAAGTGCCCAGGAAAGGGCCTGCCTGCCCTTCTGCCTTGCTCGCTCATCTCTGTCAGCACAGCCAGGGCAAACCTCTGTTCAGTCTTACTGGCGATCCCCACTCTCCCATAGCTAGCGCCACTTGTAGAGCCAGTGGTGGTGATCTATTCTTGTTTTTTCTCCGAGCAACTTGTCTTCTCTGATTCCCCAAGAAACAGACCCCTGAGGTGAGGATGGCAGGTAGCCAAATGCTGCCTCACCCACACCGCCCGCTGAGCGTGAACAAACGGACTCCCGCTCTCCCCCCACGCAGCCCATGCTAGCAGACTTGCACTGGCACCCATATATCCAAGAAGGTAGGGTGTTCCCTTGGAAGCTCTGCCTCAGGCCCCTCCTCTCTCTCCAAACCCTGCCCCTCGGGAAAACCAGCAAAGCAGCGGCTCCTCCCCCAGAGCTGCTCAGCTCCAACCCCAGAGCTGCCCAGGATGAGGCCTACAGGGTATTTAAGCTCTGGTCCATAGATCAGCCATGTGGTTTCTCTCCCCCACCCCCACCCCGAGATCACCCAGGAGTGCTTTGCTCGAATGAAACCTGGTCCTTTACTTTTAATTTGGCTGGATTTGGCTGTGTAGGCAGGGAAACTCACTACCAGGGGCCCACAGTACCTATCACTATATCCCGCCTTTCCATTTTCTTAATGGTGGTACCGCTAAT